TTCTTAAAATGAGGAGGAAACGGTGCTCAGTTATCTCAAATGAATCTGACAGAATATGCGCCCTTTCGTCCACAATTACATGTGGATGTTGAAAGGAGATGTGCCTTCTTCCACAAGATAGCTGGCCTAATCTCTTCCGATGTAACACTGTCATGGGTAAAGGGGACCTTGTGGATGAAAGGCTACTCGGGAGACCTGGCCACCCCCTGCAACGCATGCTGAGTGATTGGATCCCAGCTGCTTTCATGGCCATTCTTCTCAGATGCTTGGGATCGTTTGCAGATCACCTATTAGCTAATAACGGACCAATGTTGCCTTTCTTAGGTGTGGTAATCTCACTGCCGTTAAAAGAATGTCCTTATTTCCAGGAGATTCATGATGAAATTTTGGGGATGAAATAGGTTGCTGGAGCTTATCTGTAAATAGATCACCTAGAAGTATTTTTTTTTTAAGACCGAGTCTCATTCTGTTGTCCAGGCTGGGGTGCAGTGGTGTGATCTCAGCTCACTGCAAACTCTGCCTCCCGGGTTCAAGCTGTTCTCGTGCCTCAGCCTCCTGAGTAGCTGGGACTACAGGTGTGAGCCACCACACCTGTCTAATTTTTGTATTTTTAGTAGAGACGGGGGTTTTGCCATGTTGGCCAGGTTGATTTCAAACTCCTGACCTTAGGTGATCCACCCGCCTTGGCCTCCCAGAGTTCTAGGATGACAGGCATGAGCCACCACACTCGGCCAGTATTTTTTATGTATGCAAAAAGAGTGCTGAGGTTCCAAGTGAAGGGTAGGGAAGTGTGCATTTTGCGATTCAACTTTTCTATACATTTGGACTTTTTTTTAATGAAAATATGAGAAAATGTTCAGTGATGAATGTATAAACTCAAGGTAGTATATCCATACAATGGAGTATTTTTAAGCCATTAAAAAAGAAACGAAGTACTGATGGGCCCCGTAAACATTGCGCTGAGTGAGGGAAGCCAGACACACAAGGCTCCAGTTGTGTGATTCCATTGATGTGGAATGCCCAGAAGAGGCGAGTCCACAGAGACTGGAAGTAGAGTAAGGGTTGCCAGGGGCCAGGAGAGGGGCGTAGGAGTGACTTAAAGGGAACAGGAGTTCCTGTTGGTGTGATGAGAATGTGGACTTGGGTGGCAGTGATGGATGTACATCTCTGAATATACTAAGCACTACTGAATTGTACACTTTTACAGGGTGAATTTTTTGGTATGTGAATCATAGTGAAAAACATTTGAGGGGAAAGTGCCCTTATGCCAGGGTGCTTCCCTGTGACCAGGTGGCAGGTCCCCGTCCTGGTGCCGCTGCTTCATGGGAGGAGGCCTGGCTGGGGACCCTGAGGTGTACAGGCCTGAAGCACACTCTGCTGTGCCCCAGGCGAGGGTTAAATTGTCCTGGTTTGGTCCTTCTCATGGAGAGGAAGCCTATTTGTATTTTTAAGGTGTTTTTTATGGTTCTTTGTCACTTGTCTCTTCATCTCCCAGGTAGAGCCTCTGGGAAACCTGATAGGAGAGACCATGGGGTTAGGCTGCGTGGCTTTGAGAAGGAGGCCTCGCTGGTGTCTTTAGAGGGTGTGTGAGCCGTGGGTCCAAGGGACATGTGTGTTCATGTAAATCATGTCAACCCCGAATCTTCCCCCAGTGCCGCACCTTTTTCAAAAGTCACCGTCATTCTTGGTGGGTGGATTATTTGAAATAGTGTCCTGAAAGAAGAAAATCTTATGTTACGGATAAACAGAGCAAATGATGGATTTTTTTTTCCAGAGGAAAAACTGATACTTCACTTTAAGGAATTCTGTCAGCCAACTGTTTGGTGTGCTGTACACAATTCTATTCTTTGCGCTTTTCTTCTCCAAATTGATTTTGGTGGCATCATTTTACCAGTCATGTGAAAACCTTGTTTGCCCTTGGTAGGGCATGTGGCTGCTGCTCACACGGTGATGCCATGCAGCCGATGGGCAGGGAGGCTGTCGCCTGCCCACCCGGGGCGGGGAAGCATGTGATGGCCTTCACAGCAGCCAGCTTCGCTTGGTACAGAAATGCCTACTGTGTGGTTATTTAGGGCTTCGTAATTTTGGTTTATAAAGTAATTTTGATGGATTACTCGAGGAGTTGAAACAAACTGACCACCACAATTACACAGGAAATGAGGATGATGGCATTTTAAGGTTAGGATTTTCCCAGACTAATCAAATGCTGATTTTCTCATGCTTCACCTCAGGAGGACATAGATCTGAGACTCTGGGAAGGGGTGTGCAGTGTCACTGCGGGGAAGGGGAAGGTCCGAGCAAGACCGTGGGGAGGGGTGTGCAGCGTCACTGTGGGTAATTGAAAGGTCCGAGCGAGACCGTGGGGAGGGGTCACTGCGGGGAAGGGGAAGGTCCAAGCGAGACCGTGGGGAGGTGTGTGCAGTGTCACTGTGGGTAAGGGGAAGGTCCAGGCGAGACCGTGGGGAGGCGTGTGCAGTGTCACTGTGGGGAATGGGAAGGTCCGAGCGAGACCGTGGGAAGGTGTGTGCAGTGTCACTGTGGGGAATGGAAAGATCCGAGTGCATTTCAGTTATGAAATCATTTGTGCCTCTATTAAGTTTAGATATTATGTTTACTGGCCTGTTTTATGCTTGTAAAAAATTACTTTTTGTTTGTTTGTTTTCACACTTCTAGTTTTGTTTTCTCGGTAACCATTTCTCTGCTCACATTTTTCATTTTTCTTCCTGGTCTGTGTCTAGTATAGCATGAGAATGGGTGTCCATTGTTGAGCAGTATTTCAACGCATTGTGTCCTAGTGAAGAAGTGTCTTAGATGTCTAAGAAGTTCTCACCTCAAACTCTTTATTCAGTAGAGATGTCTGCATTTGGTCTAGGACCTCTATTCATTATTGTCGTAGATAGGAGAAGAGTTTGACCTCTTGAAAACGTGATTTTCTTTTAAAGGTAGGTTTTTAGTTTGAAGTGGTGTTGCTGTGTATAATTAATTGCCTGTCACCACAGTAGCCATGCTCGATCATTCGGACTTCGAACAAGTCTCTTTTTGAGGAGCACACAATTTTTTTTCTTTTGCTTTATTTCCGTTAGAGAGAAGCACACAATTTTAGCTATAAATTTTACACCTCTGATTCAATCTTTAAAGAATAGAGCTTCAAATACCGTATGAAATATATGACTGCTAAAAAGATGCATGTGCTTACTGCATACCGTATCTGTTTTTTTCTTTTGAGACAGGGCCTCTGTCGCGGAGGCTGGAGTGTGGTGGTGCCATCACAGCTCACCGCCACCTCCTCCCCAGTTCAAGGGATCCTCCCATCTCAGCCTTGCAAGTAGCTGGGACTATAGGCACACGCCACCACACCTGGCTGATGTTTGTAACTTTTGGTAGAGATGGGGATCTCTCTGTGTTCCCAGGCTGGTCTCAAACTCCTAGACCCAGGTGGTCTGCCTGCCCTGGCTCCCCAAAGTGCTGGGATTCCAGACCTGAGCCACCATGCCCAGCCATAATTGGTTGTTTTGGCCCCATTGAGAATTTGTTATTCAATAGAGCAGATTGTTCTGTGGATCCAGAAACTGGATCTATTATTGCAATAAGAATTTTCTAACTCTCTCATAACCTGTGACTTAAGAATGAGACAGTAGAAGTTTTTAAGACAGCAAGAGAGTCTTTTTATGAGATCCAGTATCAGCCTCTCATAAGTTTGTTACAAATAAATTTATGAAATGAAACTCACTAGAAATGTTTCTGTCTAGTACAGGGTTCATTTGCACAGTGTCTTATGTAGAGGCAAAAATCCAGGTGGGCAGAGAAGGCTTCTGGTGTGTCTGCCCCCAAATGACCTGTTCCCAGCGCTTGGGCTTCATTGAAGTAGCCTGGTGAACTGCAGAAGCCTAGATGTTGTGTGATTACCTCAGTGCTTTTGTTTGCGTCCAGGAAGTCAGTGATTTTTGAGCCTTTTGGAAATCCTGGAAATCCCACCCTTATCAGAATTTCTCCCATTCCATTAATAGCCTGTCTAATCTAAAAATAGCATGTGGTTTTATCTTTAGTCTGTAATTTCCTCTTTGCTTCACGTTTACCGAGATCTCTGATTCTCAGGAGACCAGATACAGTTGGTGTGGGTGGTGGCTGGGCCTCACTGAACAAATGCCGCCTGCAGTGTTTCTCTTTGGGGCTAAGCGTATTTGCGCGGTGCCGCATGGTACTCACATGTAGCTCAGGAAGGCATGGAGCTTTATAACATTGGTTCTAAAACTTACCTGTGAGTAGAAGTTACCTGGGAAGTTGCTTGAAACGCAGATTCTTGGGCCTGGGCCCCAGAGACGGTGATTCAGTAGGTCTGGAGCGTGGGTCCTGTGACTCTCTGTTTTTTTTTTTTTCCTTTTTGAGACGGAGTTTCGCTCTTGTTGCCCAGGTGCGGTGGCACGATCTCGGCTCACTGCAACCTCCATCTCCTGGATTCAAGTGATTCTCCTGCCTCAGCCTCCCAAGTAGCTGGGATTACAGGTGCCCGCCACCACGCCTGGCTAATTTTTGAATTTTTAGTAAAGACAGGGTTTCACCATGTTGGCCAGGCTGGTCTCAAACTCCATACCTCAAGCGATCCACCCGCCTTGGCCTCCCAAAGTGCTGGGATTATAGATGTGAGCCATCACGCCCAGCCCACTCTATTTTTAAAGAGCATTCCAGGTAATTCCAAGGCAAATGGTTCAGATACTTAGAAAAATTCTATAGTAGGTGGTCCACATAATCGGAAAAACTCTCTAGGATTTGTTGGGATTTAGTATAATTAAGTGAAAGCTACCCCGCTCCTGTAGTAATTAAAAGTGTGGGGTATGTTTTTTGTCGAGATCCATGAATGTTTCTGTAAACACCATTTTGATTGTGTTGCACTTCTTAAAGGTTGTGATGACAATGGTAATTTTAACCACTTGACTGTGTATGTTTTTCATCCTTGAAGACTGTCATATATTTTCAAGTGTCTTTCCTCCCTGTTATCTTAGGTTAAAGATCGAGGTCCGGAAGCCACTAGGAGATTTTTTAATTGGTTTTATTGGAGCATTAACCTGGGAGCGATCCTGTCGTTAGGTGGCATTGCCTATATTCAGCAGAACATCAGCTTTGTCACTGGTTATGCGATCCCCACTGTCTGCGTCGGCCTTGCTTTTGTGGTCTTCCTCTGTGGTCAGAGCGTTTTCATCACCAAGCCTCCTGATGGCAGTGCCTTCACCGACATGTTCAAGATACTGACGTATTCCTGCTGTTCCCAGAAGCGAAGTGGAGAGGGCCAGAGTAGTGGGTAAGCACTTAATTCTTATCTCAAGCTGTTTGATAGGACTTTATCGATCTCTTTATTAACATCCTAGCTTAGGTTTGTTGTGTGCTTATTGTGTGCTGGGCCGGGGCTGAGGGTTTGCTTGTCTTCTCTCCTTTAACATTGCATTTCCCCAAGGAGGCGAGTGCGGTCTTAATGTCCCATCCTAAAGACAGGCCAGTGGCCTGATTCCAGAGCTCGTGCTTTAACCCCACATTGCACTTTCTCTCACTGCTAGTGTGGACGGAAGCTCCTTTAGTGCCAGATTATAAAGGTAGAAATGTGTGGAGAGCATCGAGGAGACAGAAGACATGCTTTATACGTGTTTCTTTTTATTTTAAAAACTTTGAAATACATTTGAATGAAAAACTAAGCAGTTGCTTATGCTGTCAGTACCTGTCTTTGCTCTTTAAAAAGTAAGCCACTGCCTCTCAGCTGAAGGTCAGCATGGGCTCCATCATTCAGCGGTCGGGTCTGTCACTCTGACAGGAAGATGCAATAGCAGAATGGCGAGATACGCTGAGGGTAACCAGATGATCTCATGGGACTTACCCGGCGTTAGCACCAAAGTCCCATGAACTGGGGTGTTAAAACAGAAAGGCCTGTGTCCTCAGAAACCCTCCAAGTCACTGACCAACTATGACTCATGTTTGGTTGGTGATGTTTGATGACAGTTAATAATTAAGTCCAGAACTTAAGCCCGAGAAAAGAACTCAGAAATTTTTGTGTTATTCTTGATTGAGGAATAATTTGCAGGTAGTAAAATTTACCCCTCATATCTGTACAGTTCTGTGAATTGTGACAGACTTACTCAGGTTGTGTAACCACCAGTGCAGTCAAGGCATAGATTGTTTCCATCATTCCGGAGAAGGCTCTGGGAACTTTTGTAGTCATTCCCCTCATGGAATGTTTGGATCAACATAGAAATGCCTGGTGGCTGCTGGTTGGGAGGCTGATGACTCAGCCATTGGAGTGTCCTGTGTCTCCGAGCCGTGCAGCCCACTGTGGCACGGCACGGGTTGCTGGAGCTTCTTCTGTAGGCCCCACTCACACATCTGCCTCCCTCCGGCTTGTCTGTGTTTGTCTTACTGATGTGCTTGGAGCCATAGCCAATGTGTCTAATATTCCTTCCACGTGGTAGATTGAAACTACACCAAAATGGCCCTGTGCGCCTCCTTCTTTGCTCCTGAACATCTCTGATTTCTCCAGCTGTCCCTGTGTGGAGTCATGGCAGATCTCACCAGTCTAGATGACCTGTTGGAAATGCTGGTGGGTCATTGTGGCATTCAGACACATAATTCAAAACTGCAAATGGTGGGACCACACTGAAGACTTTTTAGTAATTAAAGTACAGGAGGCTAAGGTGGGAGGATCACATGAGCCCAGCAGGTCAGGTCAGGGCTGCAATGAGCCATGATTGCACACCGCACTCCAGCCTGGGTGACAAAATGAGACCCTGTCTCAAAAAAAAAAAAAATTTAAGTAGCCCTGTCTTAGCTGACACTAGTCTTTTGCCAGGGCCTTACTTGATTAGACAAAAGCAGTGTTTCAGATCCTAGAAGTCTTTTTCAGGAACAACCCTTCAAGTTTCAGTGTCTGTGTGGGTGGTGGCCCATAGACATTTTTGCAAGAGGACGGCATTGCTTTGTGGACGTACTTGGGTTTTAACGCACAAATGGCAGCATGGAGTGGGTTTGAAGTTACTTTTACTTAGGAAACTAATTTCCTTTTAGGATTGTCTTTGAAAGTCGTCTTGGGCACAAATAAGGGGAAAAAAGCAGGGATTAGCTTACAGAAAAGGTGATGGTCTGAGGAACTCTCAAATTCTGCGGTTTGTATGAACTGGCTCTGTAACCTTGGGCAGGTTACTGGTCTGGTGGAGCCCAGCTCTCCCTTTTGTACAGCAGAGATGGATTCATCTCATGGCATCACTGTGAGGCCTGAGCATGGTGATGTGTGCAAGGCCCTCAGCAGGGTGCCAGGCACACGCTAAGGGCCCTGTCAGTGGTGACCACTGTGACGAGGGTGCCTTAAAAAAGTTGGGCCTCCAAAGCCTGAGGAAGCATGACATACCCAGCATTTTACAGTCGTGACACTTAATTTCATCTGGCCCACTCTCAGTTTCCATCCAGGGCGATCTGTGTCTTGAAGATAATGCAGTACTCGCTATTAAATGAGAAATGAAGGCACATTGGTTCAATTCATCAGGCCAGGGTAGAAATGGTTCTACAGCTTTTTGAATACATACTTCTTTGGGAATCCGTGAGAACCAGTGGACTCTCTTCCTGGAGAATACAAACACGTACGTGTGGCCTTCACAGAGACTTGGGCACAGGCGTCCTGAAACGAGCTTGTCAACTTTTGTGGGGAGGAGCAGAGGGCTCTTGTGGGTGTTCGGGTGTCACTTGTGCCCATGGCTTCATGTTGGACCCTTGTGTGTTGCAAAATAGTACACCTAACAATATGTATAACCCAGTAAAACTTCAGATGCATATTGATTTCACAGCTTTTAAATATTTTAATTATGTAAAGCTAAAGTAATATAACCAGTAACCTATGTGAATAATGCTTTGTGTGAAAATGAATTTGTTGTTTGTTGTTTAAATGTTTTTAGTGAAACATATTTAATATGATGTGGTAAACCACTGATAGTATCTGTATTAGGTACAAAAGGACTTTTAATTTCCTTTATGAAAAAAAGTAGTACTTGAAGAAGTTAGTGTTTTCAAGTGAAAGTATTTATAATGTCTTTGGAATTTATTTTCACTTTTGGGTATTTTTGTTTCTGATTATTTTCCCCCACTAGACTAAGTCCGTAAGGACAGGAGCTCTCTCCTTTAGCCCCCAGGTAGAGCAATGCAAGGCCTGCAGCAGGTACTCAGTCAGTATTTGTTGAATCGAACTTAGTTTTCTTGTCCAAAATTTGGCTAAAATATTAAGTTATAGTTTTCAGCGCTTTTATTTTTCCCCACTCTGAATGTCCAGACTTAAAATGTTGGCTTTATAAGATAAAGAATTTAAAATACTGGCACCATAGTAAAATGGGACATGAGTTAATAAACTAGAAAACTGACAGGTGCCATTTCTGTTGGCTTCCCACAGTTAAACAGAGTCTAACTCTCTCCTGGTACTTCTTGGCTTTAGAGAATAGTGTGCACTTTGTTTTCCCATTTTACCCCTGAGATCCTTGGTGCCTGTTCCCCATTAGAGTGTTTTGGCGCTGGGAGAGAGTGCGGAGCTGTCTAATGGGGCCTGTTCATCTTCTAAATAATGAAGCGGGCCCAGAGGGAGTAAGTGAAACTCGTTAGTACAAGTACCTGGGAATGCCAGGTCCACGTTCCTGCTATGACCCGCAGATATGAGGGCAATGGCAGGGAGTGGAGGGGTAGTGGTGTCCTGCAGGGGTCAGGGCCTCAGGCTGTAAAGCCAAGACTGCCTGGGTCCAAGTCCTGGCCATACCTCGGGCAGCCTTCTCACTCTCTGTGCCCAGGCATCTTCCTCTGTGCAATGGGGCCCTGAAGAGTTTTAACACCACATGGTTAATGAGGGAGGACGTAGGGACGCAGTGCACTGGGCACTCCCCATTTCCTGCTGTCCTAGGACAGAGCCAGGGACATCCTCCTATCATCACCACCAGCACTGCCCTCCCCCTCAGCTCTTCCTTAACCCAAGAGCTGACAGCTTTCCTCCGAGAATAGAACCCTGCCTCTGTCCTGCCAGTGACTCAGTTCAAACCAGCAGGGTTTTATTCACAGCATTGGTATTGGCCGTCAGATCTTGATGTTTGATAAATTAGCTGATTAAAAATTCACACAATCCAGTGCATTTTTTCATATGCTATCCAGTGGCGTAGCTGATGTCCTTCTCAGTGTCAGTGGAGCTGCAGACTCTCCCCACGCGGAGACTGCTGAGCCGGCAGCTGCACTGGGGCTGAGCTCAGCCATGGTTCAGACTGTCATCAGAGATCTTCCGGCCATGCTAGAATTACAGTAGCCCAATTGCACTTTGACTAGAAAGTCCCTTTGTCAGCTGTTTCAGTACATTCTGTGACATTTAGAAATAATTCAGGGAGCTGTGTTGGGTGTGTACAATTAGTAAGTGATGGAATGAGTTGAAGCAGATTCGATACAGTGAGCTGGTTTCTTACCTCCAGACTTAATTTGTGACCAAATAATTGATTGCTGGGAGGGGAAGAAAACTAATTCCTTCATTTTATTTCCCAAAGTGAAGGCATTGGAGTCTTTCAGCAATCTTCTAAACAAAGTCTGTTTGATTCATGTAAGATGTCTCATGGAGGGCCATTTACAGAAGAGAAAGTGGAAGATGTGAAAGCTCTGGTCAAGATTGTCCCTGTTTTCTTGGCTTTGATACCTTACTGGACAGTGTATTTCCAAGTGAGTGGTGACAAACAGGTTTAATTTCCTTTATCTTCCTATGAAGTCTTAGCCTAGCACTTGTTTTGGCCATGCTTAAAGTAGTTAGGACTAGATTATTTTTTTTTTCCATGAGTCTACAGAATCCTGGCATTTTTGGTTTTAGTTATGGAGTCATTTTGGCTGCTTTAACTATGTTTAAAGCCTCTCTGAAAAAGAAGCTGAGAACAGGTATGCTTCTGGTTTTTCCAGGCGCCTCTTGTTAATGTAATTTCTCCTTTGGATAACTGGCTGTTCTTTTTCAAAACTGATCTCCAGAGGACTTTACAGTGACCAAATCATTGACCTGTCTGTTTTCAAACTTGAGCCATTGTCTGTTTCTGGGAGTCACTACTGTCGCATCTCAGAGCCTAGTTTAGGGGAGGGGCAGGATGCTTAGAGTGTTTGAGGGCACAGTTGGTTCACATATAATGATACTGTTTTTTATACCTAGATGCAGACAACGTATGTTTTACAGAGTCTTCATTTGAGGATTCCAGAAATTTCAAATATTACAACCACTCCTCACACGGTAAGAACAATTGTAATGATCTCAAAATTGTCATTTTGGGCTTATGTAATAAATGGATTCCTTCTACCAACTGTAAATGTTTTATAAATGTTAACAGCACCAACAAAAACCTTTGTTATTGAAATAGAGTTTTTACTTATTTTAGAGAATATTTTTTTGTTGGTTGTATCATTTACTAGATTAGGTTGACTGACATCAGTTCAACGTTACTTAGTATTTTTCACCTGATTATTTTCCCCTCAAAGCACAGAAAAGCAAATGCAGATTCATTTAGAAAGGAAGCTTTTCCCAGTTCCGTTGTCTCTAAACTGAAGAGGTTGTACCTTGTGGAGAGGAACTGTTCTTTACATGCATTTCTCCCATTGAGATGTTGGTTCTCCAGACGAGTGGTGTATTGCGGGGAGTAAACGCCTCCTCCCGTGTTTCACCCCAGCTCCCTGCAGCCTGGCTGACCATGTTTGATGCTGTGCTCATCCTCCTGCTCATCCCTGTGAAGGACAAACTGGTGGATCCCATTTTGAGAAGAAATGGCCTGCTCCCATCCTCCCTGAAGAGGATCGCCGTGGGCATGTTCTTTGTCATGAGCTCGGCCTTTGCTGCAGGTGGGAAGCATTCTGCTCCGTTCCTCCTCAGGCCCTACTTCGGCAGTTGTGGATTCAGAATATAGCGTTGACGCCCAGTCATGCCCCAGGTTGTTCAGGAAGTGCGTGTCTGTGAAAGAGGATGTGTAGCAGTTATTTTACAGCACTAATCCTTTATTTTAAACTTTAAAATAAGTTGAAGATTATTTTCCTAAGGATAGGTCAGTTTTCTTCTGGTACTAAAACCATTGGGTTGCTCTGAAAAGAGACTTTTGGACTGAGTTAAAGGGAGGTTTTTCTCTACCTTCTGGTTTAGAATTAGGCTGTTGAATGCTGAACAGATGAATTTGTGTGAATTAAAGGTACTATATCATTCTCGAGGATGAGAATTCCACCTTCAGATTACTAACCTTTGGTTTATTAACAAGTGTCAGGGTGTCTGTGAGTCCTTTGAATTTTTTATGTAAAATTCTGTGTGCATTTTTCTGGTGACAGAAATGTTTCTAGATTGTTATAGGCTCATGGGCAGCATCTCCTCCCCCTACAAATAAACCTCATAAGAACGAATGCCTGAGTCTCTAAACTCAGATGAGGAGAGTTATCCTTTGGAGGGTTTCCATTCTGTTTTCGTAATTTGTATGTGCTGAAATGAGTTGTTTATCCTTTGCTGATAAAGCTGGGTATCGCTGACTTTCTCAGTTATTTTGGAGTTCTCCCTTCATTAATATTTGAAAATTGTTGAATGATAAAACAGCTTAGTTACATAATAAGAAAAGTTGATATTCTTGAACCAACTGTATATTATCTGCTGTTATGAGGAATTCAGTGTTAAGCGCTGCTGAAATAGAATTTAGTATTCTCAAACAATGCTGCCTTCATAGCAGCCTTCATCTACTTTTGCCAGACTGAACATATTGATATAGTACTTAATAGATTTAAAGAAATTAGTCCCTGGGCTTAAGAAATCTCTATTCTAGAGACTGGGACATTTTAGAAGACTATTGCATTTTCTTTTGTTCAAATAGATAATTAAAGTGAGGTCGTGTCTGAGTGAAGTGTTTGCTGTGTGCCTTCTTTATAATTCAGCTTGTCTTCCAGAGCTGTGGCACATGGGGAAATAAGCATAGGCAGAGAAGAACTGAATTACCGCAGGGCTCTAGCTGCAGGCTGCAGTTCAGCAGAGTGCACACGCAGAAGGGCTGTCTGCAGGAAGTCTTTGCACTGGAGACTGTGTCTGCCTGTCTGTCCTACCTCCCTAAAGCGCAGGCTCAACTTTGGCCTCAGACCTCTCTCTCCCCCTGGGGCTGGAGTGCCTTCTCTGTGCCCCATCACCACACTGGTTGATGCCAAGGAAGGAAGTCCTCATTCCCTCCCTGTGGGAAAGGAGATCTCCTTGGTTTCTGGAGGCTTTTCCAGTAAATACTTGGGTTGGGCTTCTTTCCTAACATCCTCTCTTTCAGTTTCATAAATGGCTGAATCACTTCTGTGGGCTGCCTTGAGAGCCATGCAGGCCACTCTGGTGGTTTCTATATGTGTTTGTGCAGGATACAAGTGCCAGACCAGTCACTGTTGAGATTTCCCCATTGCGCTCCCTCAGTTCTGTCTTTAAAAAGCGCTAGCAGGCCGGGCACGGTGGCTCACACCTGTCATCCCAGTACTTTGGGAGGCCAAGGCGGGTGGATCACAAGGTCAGGAGTTTGAGACCAGGCTGCCCAATGTGGTGAAACTCTGTCTCTACTAAAAGTACAAAAATTAGCTGGCCATGGTGGCAGGCGCCTGTAATCCCAGCTACTCGGGAGGCTGAGGCAGGAGAATCACTTGAACCCGGGAGGCGGAGGTTGCAGTGAGCTGAGATTGCGCCACTGCACTCCAGCCTGGCGACAGAGTGAGACTTCATCTCAAAAAAAAGAAAAAAAAAAGTGCTAGCAAAATCCACAATAGATCAGGTCCAGCACTTTCTGACCAGAGTCAGACAGCCTCTGCTCAGTGCTTGCCTTTTTACTGAGTGCTGGCGCCCGTGATGAGGCATGGGCTCTGACCTGGTGTGACTGCAGCAGCACCAGAGCCTCTGAATTGGTGACATAGAAGTGGAAAATTCGCAGCGTGTGTGTGTTCTGAAAAAGGCTTTCTTTCCCGGGTGACCCAGTGTTGGAAAGAAGTTTTACCTGCCGGTAGTTGGGAAGAGTTACATATGTCTTGTAACTTGACATGAGTGCAGTCTATTAAATTTAATAAAACACCTGCCCATGTTTGATGTGATTTTACTCCCAGCTCTAGTGAGTATTATTTAGGGACGTTAATGGTCTTTGAGTAGAGACTTGAAACCATCATAGCAAACCAAAATTTTCATGGGAAAGAACCTTAATTTTGCTTGTAGCTTACCAACTACCCCCCATAATAAATCACGGTCTTCCATTTAGTGCCATACCTGGTGGAGGCCGCTTTTTCTCTAAAGATGTTCAGATGCAAGTTGGGCAGGTCCAAGGGGCTTCTGCTCAGCTTAAGAAAAAAAGTATGTTAATTTGCTAGATTTAATTTTTCCCCTTAAAAAATTGTGTTTCTGTTCTTAAATTACAAGAGTAAAAAGATGCGCTTTGGAGAAGAGGAAACCTTAGAATCATAAAGGAGAAAATAAAGATCCACTGTAATGTCCTTAGAGCTGCTTGCTACTGATATTTTGGTGTCTGTCTTGTTTGTGTGTCTGTACACATACATCTTTTATGGTTTTGCAAAAGCAGAATCCTGTTGTGTAAGCTGATTGGAGCCTGATTAAGAAAAATCAAATGTAAAAAAGCTATGAAAGTATGACAAAAATTATGCATATTAATGGCAAAAAGAGGACCAAAAGACATACAAGCCGTAAAATACACACACGCATACATAAAATATACGCGCACACAGATACAGTTAGAAACTCTCAAGATTCCACCACCCAAATCCACTAATAACATTATGTAAATACATGGGAAAAATTATAAAAATACATGATGTGTGACATGTTTATACTGTCCTCTGTAACCTGCTTATAAAAATCACTTAATGTGTCATTAATAATCTTGCATGTGACACATTCAGCTGCATCTAGTTTGCACTGTTTTAGTAATCATTATAGTGAAATGTTTTTACTTATGTTCCTTCTTAAATCCCAAGAAGTGTAGTCATTGTATGACACGAAGGCGTGTGGTATATGTAGCTGAACTGTCTTGTGGGAAGGTTGTAGGCCCTTCCGTCATCACAGGTGGGTGGTGGTCCACCTGGATCGCTCCGCCTGCTGATCTGCCCGCCTGCTGATCTGCTCCGTCCCACTTTCTGTGTCGTTGGGACTGTGTTCACCACAGCTACTGCAGGGCAGGAGTCACTCCTGGGCTTCAGAGCACGGATGCACATCCTGAAATTGAGGCAGAATCAACCGAGAACCTTTCTCTGGGAAAAAGGTCAGAGCTTTCGTTAGAAAAGAGTTGAAAACCACTGGTCTACAGCAAGTTTTTAAAAGTTATTATATGGTCAACTTATGGTCATTAAAAATAGATCCAAAGGGAGGCTTCAGTTCATCCACAACCCCCCATTCAGAGGTGACCACTGCAGCTGTTTTTGTCTTTCTAGAACATTTTCTGGGTATGGCTAAATTACTTATTTTAAAACAGAAGTGGAACTCCTCACAGTTTAGAACCTGTTTCTGTTTTCTGTGTGCTCACCATTTTCCCGTACCAATAGTTACACATTTAAATTGTGCTTTCTAACAACTAGACCATATTCCGTGTTTGAGTGTTACATCGTTTTTAAAAACCAGCACTCTTCTTAACTGGCATTTGATTCCAGGTTATTCTTATTTCAAACAAGACCATGTTGTCACTCTTTTACGTAAGCTCGTATGCTCTTGTCTTACTGTTTCCTGAGGGTAACTTACCTGATTGAAAGTGGTGGAGTGGAGTGTGTGAGAATTCTTGTTTTCTGTCATCCTTGCCAGTACTGATTTTTTTTTTTCTGTTAATCTTTTCTTAGCCGAAGGGTTGAAAAATGGTATATTATTGTTTTGACATATGTTATTAGTGATGTTTAAGATTCTTTCCCAAAACTTTCAAACTCTATCGTCTTAGCTGGGTCATGGTTTACCTGGATCCACATGGAGTATAACTGTACACGGTTATATTCTGTGTACAGTTTGTGTTGTACCCATTTTTCTAATAGGTTTTTCTTTTTTGTGTTGTTACATAATAGATCATGATTGTTTAAGGATTTCAAATTTTTATCTCTTAGCTTATGGATTTTTTTTCCCATTTAAAAGATTTTCCCTTGAGAGACCAAGGCGAGTGAGATCACCTGAGGTTGGGAGTTTGAGACCAGCCTGGCCAACATGCTGAAACCCCATCTCTACTAAAAATACAAAAATTAGCCGGGCGTGGTGGCGCATGCCTTTAATCCCAGCTACTCAGAGGCTGAGGCATGAGAATCGCTTGAACTCAGGAGGCGGAGGTTGCAGTGAGCCGAGATCGATCATGCCACTGCACTCCAGCCTGGGCTACAGAGTGAGACTCCGTCTCAAAAAAAAAAAAAAAAAAAAAAAATTCCCTATAATTTTGTTTATGGAATCTTGGAAAGTTTTATACATTTCTTTAGGTTCTCTACCTTTTATGTTAGGTTTATTCCTAACTACTTTATGTATTTTTGGTTCCCATATATGGGATTTTATAAAATTCTGTGAGTTTCAGTGAACTGTTTTCAAATGATCATTCTTTGTCTTCAAATGATATAGTTTCTTTTTCTGTCTTTGTAATAATTATATCTCTCTTTCTTTCTCTTTTTCTTTGATTCAACGTTAGTCTCATCCTGGATTTTAATGGGACTGCCACTGTTAGCTCACAGTTAAGTTGAAAGTTTATCATTGCCTGTTAAAGTAGGTATTTGTGGTGACATTAAACATCTAGCCAGCATGAATGTTGGATTTTTTTTTTTTTGGTATCCAAGGGTAATTACATCTCTCCCCGGCTACCTTTGGCTTCTCATGTATTTTATTTATATTATTGTATTAGATTCCTGATATTTAACTGTTCCTCCGTTTTAGAAAACAAACCCTGTTTGTTAAAAGAGGCTTATGTTGATCATCTGACCTGACTCTGCTGCTGTATCATTGAGCGCGTGTGCATCTGTATCTAGAATTGGCCTTGGTCTGTGGTTGTTTTTGGCAGGTTTTGGTGGGGTGATACAGCTTCTTAAAAAGAGTTGGTGTACTCTTTTTCTCTGTAGGCAGGAGAATATTTTAAGGGGACAATAATTATCTTTCTGTTCTCAAGGAGTTCCAAGCATTTGTCTAGCTTGAAGTCATCTTGAGTCCATTACCTCTCTGAGAGGAAATTTATTTGATAACTTTTTCAGTTTCAAGGCAAGGTCTCCCTCCCATCACCCAGGCTGGAGTGCAGTGGCGCAATCTCGGCTCACTGCAACCTCCGCCTCCCGAGTTCAAGCAATTCTTCTGCCTCAGCCTCTCCAGTAGCTGGGATTACAGGCGCCTGCCACCATGCCCGGCTAATTTTTGTATTTTTAGTAGAGACAGGCTTTCACCATATTGGCCAGGCTGATCTCAAACTCCTGACCTTGTGATCTGCCCACCTTGGCCTCCCAAAGTGCTGGGATTACAGGCGTGAGCCACTGTGCCTGGCTTTCATTCACTTGTACTTATTCTAGTCTATTTAATAATGAAAAGATAATTTAAGGCTATGAATTTGCTTGTTATTACTGCTTTGGTCAGTTCTCGTGTGCTTTGATTTGTTATAATGTTCTCTTGTTTTCTGTGAATATTGAAACTGGTTTTGGTTTTCTTTTTGATCTAAGACTAATTTCAGAGAATTTTTAAGTTTTACAATATTGATGTTTTTGTTTATACTTTTGCTAATGATGGCAAATTTTGTTGAGTCAGGAGAGATTATGGCTTTTATAATTCCTGCATTGGGGATTTCAAGGCGTCCTTTGTGGCCAAATATCACCCTGTATAAGTGTTGTAGGTGAATAGGATGATTCATGTATTGTAATACTACCAACGATATTAATTAGGTGTTTTACAGCAGGAGTCTTAAACTCCAACACCGGCAGCGGGCCTGAAGCCATGTGGATGAGTGCATGGTCCAAGAATAACACAGTGGGTCTGTGGTGAATCAGAAGGCACAGACAGGTCCTGTCCGAACACTTTCTGAAACACCATGTGGGCTTGAAACATAAGCCTGTCAGAACGGAGCTCCACGAGGACCCAGATCTTTGTGTCTGTCCGATTCATCGAGTCGTCTCGGGCATGTTGTAGGCCTCAGGAATTATTTGTTGTCATGAAGTCGGTCTGGGGCCTGGCTTTCTATTTGTGTCTGTAGTTTGTAAACTTTATGCCAAACAAAGCTGTATTTTTTTTTTTCCATCTACTTGTCCTGACAAGGACGAAAAGAAGTGTATTCCTGTGAGATTCTAGCAGCTGGATGGTATTTTAATTCGCATTAAAGTTCATGATTTGTGTTTTCTCTGTGGATACGATGTGTCATCCGTAGTGAAACAGCCGTTGGGTTGGAAGGTAGCGCGTGTGGCATCGTTGAGAGCCAGGTGTGAAGCCTCAGCCCTGCTGGTTGTCTCCAAGTCTCATTCTCCTCATCTCCAAATGAGCTTGCGTTATTTCTCCCCCGGCTTACTGTGAATAACAAATGAGGTGCTGTCTGTGAATCAGTCAACAAAAGCGGCTCATCACGCAAGGAGCAGTTCGTACATGGCACCTATTGGTTATGTTGGTTTTTGATTCTTTTTCTCTCTTCTTGGTATTTTCTTGTCACCTCTTCCCTTTGTGATTGCTTGTCTGGTACATCCTGGCCTGTCCCCTCTTTTATTTATAATCTTTGGGTTATATTATGCTTTAGTTCTGTGTAGTAACCGTAATGTTCAGTTTTGTTTCTGTTTTTTGAACTGATATAAGTGGGTGACTTTTATCTGAAGGATCTGGCTCATTTATCCTGACTGCTGTGTTGATTATCCAGCGTCGCATCACATGCTTGTTTTTACTGGGTGCCCCCTTGCCATGCCACTGTCACTCAGCCTGAACCGTGCTGCTTTTCCGCCTGTCCCAGCCGTTCCAGGGCTCTCAGTTGTTCCCAGACGGGGTCACTTTCCCCATTGGCTCTGCCTCCGCCTCGCTCGTGACTGGGGGCTCCGGTCCCAATCCTGGTTTCCGCAGTGTCGGCTGTGCGTGCACTTTTGGCGCTACTCATCTCTCTGCTGACAGCCTCACCGATAATCAGGCTTATTTGTTTTCTCATTTTCTCTTCTCCTAATTCTTGATTTCATCATTTGTGTCTCTCCTAAGCCAACGTCCTCTTAGTTTCTTTGTTACCTTTTTCATCCTTAGTCTTCAGAGTCTGTGTTTTCTTGAATAGTAAGACAAGTTATCTGGTAGAACTATGCCAGTAGCAGTAGTAGTAGCTTTCCCATTCAGGTTATAAAATCTACTTACTGTCCACATGAGCAACCTTGGCTTGTCCCGCCCCCTGCGGACACTTTGGTGTGCCATCCTAAGGCTCTCCTTCCCTGTGAAGGAGAGAAATGGTTTTCAGCTTTCGTGTTTATTTCCAAAATAGATCTCAGTTTCTGCTTGAGTTGCATTGGTTCTGTTCCCATTCAAGGAGTGGCTGCAGTCAGCTACGGTCCCAGGGGAGCAGGCGGGAGCTGGGGACCTTGGGTGTCCGTGGGAGGCCATTGCCACACAGTTCATTCTTGGTGTTTGAAGGCACTGATGCCAGAGCTAGGGGTGCAGTGCCGTGGTTGCTGTCAGCAACCTTCCTGCCCTGTTGGGGAGGAAGGCTGTCATTTGGGGACAGTCCCTACTGTCACTACCAGCCTTGCCTGATTAAGGTGCCCTCAGATGCCCCTTTCCAGAGCAACTAAGGGCTCTAAATAGTTTGCTGTCCTTGCCTGGGTCTGCGTTTATGTTTCTCCCATGGAGGGCAGAGTAGAAGGATTGGGTTTCCCTTGACACTCTTCCAGGGCGGGGCTGCAGGTTTTCTGATGGAAGTAAACTGTGGGTTGGCTGGAAGGTCTCTCTCTACCTTGATCCTGGAGAATGTTTTCACTTTGCTTGGCATTTCAGTTGAGATTTGAGGTGGAAATTCCAGAGTTTGTCTTCTCATCGCCCTGTGAATCATATCCTGGTCCTTTCTCATGCTCAGGTTTTAGAAGGAACATTTTTAATATTTTCATTCCATTGTCCTCTGACCAGATCTTTCTTCATACTCACATTTTAAAAATGTTTACATACACTTTAAATATTAGGGCCTGTGACCTAATTTGCAATAAGAATTCTTTATAAAACTTGGCGGTGTCTTTAACCTAAGGACTTGGACCTGCAAGTAGATGCTTTTACACTTTATTTCCATTGGTTGATTTTTGTTTATAGAGTAGCAGCTGCTGCCCTTGCTTGTTTCTCTCTTGTCTTTCTGTTGCACTTGACAGGTGACCAGTAACTCAGCCTGCACCTGCAGTGAGATCTCAGTGCTGCTGAGAGCAGAGGTTGATTTGTGAAGTCAGCTTACTTTGTTGCAAAGATTAAGCCTACCCTATACAGGGAAACTGACATCATCATCATCATCATTATCATCATCATTTGTTGTTACAATAATAAATAAATAGATCACCTTCGATCTATCGCTATGTTTGGAAAAACATTTCAACATTACCTGCTGTTAGGTAAAATAGCACTACTGTTAATTCTACAGTAGGACTATTTAACTTTCTCCTACTCCCCTTTGTAAGAGACAAAAGAGGTATGGGTGAGCAATCCAGATATTTGAGGATTAAACGAAACGTACTGGACATCCGATTTTATATAAGATGCTGTAAAAAGCCAAAGTGAAATAGGTGTGCTATGGCATGACCTCCACTCAGCCTGCTTAGGAGGCTGAAGGCTGGGGGCCTGTTAGTCCTGGGGGAAGCTGTGATTAGACATGGTCCTTTCATGCATCAGAATCACGTTCGCTATGAAGTCTTGTAGCAAACATCAGATTTTTAGATTAACTCTAAATGTTAATACATGAATATTACACTAACCTACTTTTGAATTCTAGGAATTTTGGAAAGTAAAAGGCTGAACCTTGTTAAAGAGAAAACCATTAATCAGACCATTGGCAACGTCGTCTACCATGCGGCCGATCTGTCACTGTGGTGGCAGGTGCCGCAGTACGTGCTGATTGGGATCAGCGAGATATTTGCAAGTATCGCAGGTAAGGACCTTTAGTGCCGGAGGTGTCTGAGTCCAGGCAAAAGCATGAGCGCTCTGGCGTTCTCACTGTGCTGTTGGAATATGTTGAGACGAGGACAGCACAGCACTTCTGTAGCTTTTGGCAGTGTGTGGTTTAGAATATGAATCGCTAAGTAAACACACCAATGCTGAGGTTCTCCTTTCTTTGTGTAAAAACAGTATCGCAAAATATTTTCATGAAAGTTTGTTAACTACCCTATAAGTGCCACAGGACAGAGAAGAAGAAACCAGTCGTGGTTGGATAGTTCCCAGCGGAGCCCTCAGCCGTGCCACCATGGTGGCTGGGCTGAGCTCACAGATCTCAGTGCGCTTCATTTAGATGTACATAAATAAGCAGATCTAATTTTTAGAAACGTGTTTTCACAGGCCTCCCTTTTCCTATTAGCGAGATCCTGCAGTGGTTGAACAAGTGTATTCTGGGCAGATCTGTCCGGCTGCTGAGAGTGAGAGAGAAGAGAAAATGAGTGATATGCAGAGGTGGATGGATGTGCAGGTCATAGTCAGTGGTGGTTTTCACTTTAGAAAACTCATCCAGAATTGGCTAATGAATTTGTAAAGGGGATAAATCACAATGGAATGGACTTCTGTTTAGAATACACTACAAATCTCCGTGTCTAGTTATAAAAATCTAAATTTATAGATGGACCTGCCAAAATAGTTTTGAAGTATATTGCCCTTGTTGCGGTGGCTCACACCTATAATCCCAGCACTTTGGGAGTCCGAAGCAGGTGGATCACCTGAGGTCAGGAGTTCGAGACCAGCCTGGCCAACATGGTGAAACCCTGCCTCTAGTAAAAATACAAAAAATTAGCCAGGCATAGTGGCACTCTCCTGTAATCCCAGCTAGTCGGGAGGCTGAGGCAGAAGAATCGCTTGAACCAGGGAGATGGAGGTTGCAGTGAGCCAAGATTGTGCCATTGCACTCCAGCCTGGGCAACAAGAGCAAAACTCCATCTCAACAAAAAAAAGATAAAGTGTATTGTCTTTGAAATAGAATCGTTATGTAGATTTCCCAGTTTAGTGTGTGTACTTTGTTTTCAAACTCCCGTTCCTTGACAATATAGGAAATTTGTTTCTTTAATCTCTTCAAGGAACACAAAAGTCTAAGAGCCAACAAATCACTTGTTACCTTTAAGCTTGAGAGCGAGGAGTTTAACTTTCTGCTCATTAAATTTTTTTTTTTTTTTTTTTTTTGAGACGGAGTCTCGCTCTGTCGCCCAGGCTGGAGTGCAGTGGCCGGACCTCAGCTCACTGCAAGCTCCGCCTCCCGGGTTCCCGCCATTCTCCTGCCTCAGTCTTCTGAGTAGCTGGGACCACAGGCGCCGCCAACTCACCCGGCTAGTTTTTTGTATTTTTTAGTAGAGACGGGGTTTCACCATGTTAGCCAGGATGGTCTCGATCTCCTGACCTCGTGATCCACCCGTCTCGGCCTCCCAAAGTGCTGGGATTACAGGCTTGAGCCACCGCGCCCGGCCATCTCTGCTCATTGAATTTTTTAGGAATTGTCCTAATGGCTAGGAGAATGAACAGTTGGCCTGTAGCCGTCGATTTCTTGATCACTAGTAAGGAAAGAGGTTGTGCCTGTCTGCAGGACTCAGTCCCTAGGAGACCCCATGCTTCCTCTGCCATATTAGGCCAGAGCGTTGATCCCATGTGTTAAGGTTCCCCTTTCACAAAAACGACCCTTCCTTTTCTTTCCTCAGGCCTGGAATTTGCATACTCAGCTGCCCCCAAGTCCATGCAGAGTGCCATAATGGGCTTGTTCTTTTTCTTCTCTGGCGTCGGGTCGTTCGTGGGTTCTGGACTGCTGGCGCTGGTGTCTATCAAAGCCATCGGATGGATGAGCAGCCACACAGACTTTGGTAAGAGCCAGCATCCTGTCCCTTTTGAAAACAGCCAGTGAGGGGAGGCGTGGGCGCTCAGGAGATGGTTGAGTGAACGGAGGTGTTTTCGCGTGGATGGCCTGTCCCGAGCTGCCTGTCCGCCGCTCCTTCCACAGCACCGCGCTGTGCTGCTTGCATCGCTTCTTTTCCTTACATCATGAACGGTTTTCAAGAGACAAGCAAGTCTCTCTTCTCATCCCCGGGGCCAAGCCTGCCCTGACCACAGCCCGGTGAGCAGCTGCTGCACCCACGGCTCCTTATGGGGATGTCCTTGACGGACAGGCACCTTCTCCACCCCCGTCCAGCGCAGTCTTCATGAGGCAGCTGAATCTGCACCCCAAGCTTCCCTTTCTTTCACTTGGTGGTGTACTTTCATTTTCTTTTCCTGACAGTACCTTTTCTGATATGAAAAAGACAAGCTAGATAGTAAGTTACTTTTAAAAATAAACATATTACTCGTGATCAATGATAATGGGTTTTTACAGTTAATACCAGTAGTTGGCATCTTGAGTGTTGAACAGAACCACTCATAAAAGATGAGTTTTGTTTTCTTCAGGTTTACGATGCTTTTAAATGGACCCAGCAAGTGAAGGTTTCTTCTTTCTTTTCCTTTGTAAAAATATTTTATCTACGAAAACAACCTCGTTACTTTTTCTTGTATAATCATGTGGCATGGCCGGGCGCGGTGGCTCAAGCCTGTAATCCCAGCACTTTGGGAGGCCGAGACTGGCGGATCACGA